CTTCTGTTTTATTGGCATATCTTTTGGTGTACTTTCGTTCTCTATAAGGTACATCCTTCTCATACACAAACTCTTTAATAATAACTTGGGCAGTGTTTTACTGTAGTCCTTTTTGCTTTCTTTTCTTTTTTAATGAAATTAGCATTCCCATACTTGTAAGAGACAGAGATGAACCAAGATAGCTTGTCTTGCTTCAGGAGGCTTCTAGGTTTACTTTTATAAAATGATAAAAACTAATGGGTTGTACTTAATTGAAATTGCCTCCTTTGCTCCCTTAGACCATATGCATTTTAACTTTATCTTTCTTAATTCTTGATCTGGTCTATGTGGATGTTATTCTCAGTAGTTTTCCTTAGTTCAAGATATGTTTTAGAAGGGGATTTTGGTTGTTCAAGAGTTTTGAAGATCCAGAGCTCACTGAATTATTATCTCTTTGCAGTCATCTGCAAATTGGATTTTGTAGAAGTCCTTACTTTTAGCTACTCTTCTCACATTGGCTTTTGTTTTCAATGGGAGGCAGTTCGGAGAGTCTTTGTTTTTGGAACTGTAAGAAACCCAGTTACTTCCATTTTGCTTCCTTACCCACAGATGCTGATACCAGGACTTGGCTATCGGTGCTTTGTTTCTTTACACTGATGTGCAAGGATTCATGGATGATATACTGGCTTGTTTCATTGTTGGTGTTTGGGTGTCCCATCCAGTTTGCTCTTTATATGGGAGAGGTTGGGAAGCAAAAGAAGCAAAAACAAAATAACTATCAATGTCACCATCATCTTCCCTGAACTCTTGATCTTTCACCTGATAATACTTTCTATCCGTATCATTACGTTAATCCATTAATTGCAGATTGCAGCAGTGGTGATTTGGAGAAAGTCATTCTTTTCATCTATTTGTCTGACATATACCATTTTGCCATCCTTTTCCTCATCAGTGGGTAGCATTTGATTACCTTAAAAACAGTTCTACTGAAAAGGCAAAATAAAACTATATTTTAAGTTTTGTAGAGTAAGGAATTAATACAATAATTTGAATAGTGTCAGTTTTTAAAAAAAATTGAGTTTTGCCTTTGAATCTTATAAATCCACCTGAGGGTGGTTTTTTTTGTTTTTTTTTTTTTTTTTAAATATTTGATGTGTTTCACAGTCACTATTAATGATACTCAAATTGCTGAGTCTTGGTGTGTTTTTAACATACTCCATTAGATTATGAAAATTTGGCTCACCTTGAATATTCTCATTCCTTGGCCTGGAATGAAACATATGTCCATGAAATTGTTGGGAAAGTCAGATTTGCTCTTGAATGTGTGTACGTGTAGATTTTCTCAGGGGACAAAGTTAAAAAGAAATTTTTCTTAGTATATCTGAGAAGTAACCCCATATCAGTACACGCAGTATCTTCCACATCCTTTTGTATAACTAAATACTACCACACTGTGTTGATACAGAATAGATTTTTAATATTCATGGACATTGTGGTTATTTCCAACTTTTTGCTCTTAATAGTAATGTCATTGTGAATCTTTTTATGTGTTTATCTTTCATCACATATGTAATATATCATTAAAATAAATTGCTAGAAATAAAATTGTTGCATCAAATGATAGATGCATGTGGAATTTTGCTGGATACTGCCATATTGTCCTTCACAGAAATGTAACATTTTGCTTTCCCACCAGTAGGATATAGGGGTATATCTTTTCCTACAAGTTCCTAAACAGAAATAAGTTGTTAAACTTGGATACTGTCAGTTGAAAAAAAGTATTTAAGTGTGGCTGTAATTTCAGTTTACCTCATTATAAATAAGTGCATTTATCTTTTCTTGTATTTATGATCTAGTTGTATTTTTTCTATAGTCTTTTGCTCATTTTACTATTTATAGATCCTTTCTCTTTTCTTTCTTCTCTGTTTTGTTTTGTGGTACTGGGATTGAACCAGTGGTCTTGCACATGCTAGGAAGCACTGTGTCAGTGATCGCCCTATTATTTTGAATAAGTGTCTTGCTAAGTTACCCAGGCTTGCCTATAATTTGTGGTCCTCTTGGCTCAGCTTCTGAAGTTCCTGGGATTACAGGCTTGCACCACCACACCTGGCTGTTCATTTTCTTTAGCTCTTTACCTCTAATAAATTTAAAGACTTTTTTTTTTTTTTGCTTTGTTTTTTGACTTTGCTAATTGATATTTTTCCATGTGAAAATATATATACTTAAATAGTTAATGATTTTTTTCTCACTATTCTGCTTTGTTACGTTTTTCCATTTTTCCTTTATTTTATTTATTTATTTTTTGGTAGTAATGGAGTTTGAATCCAGGGCCTTCTGTCTGCTAGGTTGCCTCTGAGACTTGGGCCCTGCCCCCCAGCCCTTTTTCACTTTAGTTATTTCAAATAGGGTCTCATTGTTTTTGCCTGGGGCCGGCTTTGGACTACAATCCTCCTGTCTATGCTTCCCAGGAGCTGGGATTACAGGCACATACCAGTACACCCAACTTGTTGGTTGGTCTAATTTTTTGCCCTGGTTGGCCTGGAACTACCATCCTGATCTCTGACTCCTGAGTAGCTGGCCTATTTCTTTAGTGATTTGTTTATTTCTTGCTTTTTCTGTTCCTAGACTCAGAAATTTTGGTCATATTCTTTCTCTTTTGATCATCTCATAAATTATCCTTTTTTCCAGTTATTTTCCATATTTCTTCAGTAGTTTTTAATATTATCATTGGTTTCCAATTTGTCTCTCAGAGTTGTATATTTTGGTCAATGGTGTTCTTTAATATCTGCAGTCCATTTTCCATTCATGTTGGTATGTGGTTATGTGGCTTATGACTTCAGTTTTTTGTGGTAAACTTCATTTCTGCTAGAAAGCTCTGCTTCTCAGTTGCTTTCATAACATCTTTATTTGGACTTCACAGTTGTGTTTTTTCCCACTTATTTTGTCTGGGCTTGCTATTACTGGTTCTCATTGGATAGCAGGGAGGAGTTTAAGTTGCTTTAGTGGTCTCAGTTGAAGGGACCTGTCCTCTGTTACTGTGAAAAGAGCATTCCTTTGGTATATAGTTCTGTTTTATGTTGTCCAGTGAGTTCTAATTCTTCACTTCGATCATGGTTAATTAAAACTCTTTTTCACCATTTTCACCAGCTACTTTCCAACTCTTTGTAGCCAGAAACAACTTTCGAGGGACACCTGTACTGTGCCTCTCCAAACGCATCAGCCATTTCTGATCCCTTCCTGGTCCCTAATTCTGCTGATACTTGAGTGTTTGTTTCCCAAATTATATCACATTTGGAGTTCATTATTCTATTTCCTTGTTTTACTGTAGGCATAAGTTATATGAGTGTTTTTATTTTATTTTCTCTCCTTTTACATTTGGGTACATTTTGGAAATGTGAGTAGGATGTGTGATTGATTTAGAAACATGGAAGCTTCTTTTCCTCCTTAGCTTTCTCAATAGATGCATTCTAGTTCGATCTAAGGTTTTAACATGGCACATAACACAGAAGAATTTTGTTCAGTAATTGTAGCATTAATAGTGATTAGTTTTTTAAGTTCTTATTTTTTTTGAAAATACAGCCAAAGAAATCACTTCTTAAATTATATAGCCAGACATGATCATCTGTGATCACTGCTCGTCTGCCACTTCATCAGGGTCTGTGTTTCTCTTCAGTGGTGCCTATGGTTCTGCCTCCTCAGGGAGAGTTGGCTTAGTCAGGCCTCAGTATGCCAGCAATGTAAAGAGGCTGTATTATTGTCTCTGCAGCCAAGCTTTTTTGCCCTTGCAGAAGTTTCGGTGCTATAGCAAACTCATTTTCTCTTGTTAGCCTCCAAAAGGAAGGACATAAATTGAGGTCTGAGTCTTTTCCTTTTCAACTGAGAGATGCTTCTACAAGTTCAATGTCCAGTTTCCTGTCACTGGGTATATCTATCTTGTTTTCTCTAGGTGAGTGATAGATAGGTTTGAAGGAATTGAGGTAGGGGATGGGGAGGGAAGTGGCAATACATTGGAAAAAGTCAAGAAGTCTGATAAAGCTTTTGGAACTTGAAGTCTTGGAAACACTGTGATATATATCAGAATAATGGTGTCACAGCAATTAAAATGTCAGCATTTTGGTAATAAAAGTAGTATGCAGGAATATTTTTAAAAATTACTGATTTGGGAAGTATAGCATTCTTTGCCACAATTCTGGAAAAAGCTTTTGAAATAAATGCTAAAGGGCATTCTGCAACCAACTAAAATACCTTTGATTTTTTTCCTGAAATCTTTTAAAGTTTTAGTTGTGACTTAGTTTATAGATAGCTAATTATTCGAACAAACATAGCAAACTCTTTATGAGCTTGTGTTTTGCTTAGAACTCAGAATAACATAGCTATCATAACACTTACTACATATGTTTTAGGAAGCCAAGGATTGAATCATTCTCTTAAAAAAACTGCATGTGATATTATTATCGAAATAATTCTCTTACACACAGTACATTTTATTTGATAAAAGTGTTTTAGTTCCTATAAAATTATATACATTTGTATTACTGCTATTAAATATCAGTTTTTTACTTTTTAATTTTGTGTTTTTCTCTTTTGTTCTTAATGTATATCACCTTTCACCTATAAAATTGAGCAAGAGATGAGTAGGGAGGAAGGGTAAAGAAAGGCCTCGTTGGGACTTAATTTTTAACAATATTCTTGTCATTATTTTTCAATTCATAGGATTTGCTTTTTGTTACTAACTGCAGATTATGATTGTAACGTAGTTTACATGATCGTTTCTTACTAGGTTTTACCAGTTTTTTATTCTTACTAAATGAAGTAGTGTTGGAAGTAAGTTTTATGGATTCAGCACTCTTTCTTAAGATTAATTTGCCTAGGTATGAATCTTTGATTCTCAGTGTTACCTTTAAAGTTGTCCCCTAATATTGTTTTAAAACACACAATAAACTTATGTTAGTGCTAGTTATGTTAGTGCTAGTTACAAAAAATGCCAAATTAAAATCAATATTATCTCTTTTTCTCCCTAGGGAGTTCTGGGAAATTGTTCATTCATTTACAGATGAGCAGAAAAGACTCTTCTTGCAGTTTACAACAGGCACGGATAGAGCACCTGTGGGAGGACTAGGAAAATTAAAGATGATTATAGCCAAAAATGGCCCAGACACAGAAAGGTAATTATTGTGACTGCATACCTACTGAAAACTGCATCCCACATCATGCACATGGAGCTGTCCTTGTAGCTTCTTAGCGCTTCTCTGGTTTTATATAGAAATCTCCAAATCATATGAGGTTGAGAGACTATTTTGTTATTATTTGAGGAACTTTAAAAATAACTGGCCTATTAAAAAATTATTATGGGGCCTATGTTCAAATTGGTTTGATTCCTTTCTTTGGTTCACAGTTATTAATTGAAAGCCACATTATATAATAATCTGTGTAGAATGGTTAAATTGAGGTTTAAGAGATTGTTTAGCATTAGATTATGGTAGAATCCTCAGTTATTTAATTATACTCTCTTCCTATTGTGTACCTTAAGGTTTTAGAGGGGTAGGACCATATATCAGTAACACCATGTTTAATAGTTTAAGTGTATAGACACATTTATGTTATGGTTTGGTGTTTTTGGTACATCATGGTGCTAACATGGTTAATTTATATTTGTTACTAAATGAATTTTTCATCATCATAATGCAAACAGGTTAATAACCGTTAAAGAACACAGTCTTTGTAATTTTTAAAACTAGGTTTGAATATTTTCTCCACCTTAGAGTAAGTCTAACACTTGTCAGTGACTTCAACTCTAAAGTGGGTTTAGTAACATCCATTCTGTACGTTTGTTGTAAGAAGATTCAGTTAAATCAACTATAAGGGTTAAATATGTAAAACAGTAGCTGGTATGGAGTGCTAACTCAATTCAATGGATACAGTATGTTATCATCACTGTTCTTGGTCGATGCACAGCAAAATGTTTATGATTTGCCTTAAAGTATAGTTCTTCATTGCAAACCATCCTAACTATATATACCATCTAAAAATAGGAGTATTTAATACTGAGCATATTTGCCATGACTTACTATTTTCCTGTTTTTCCCCTTTCTCTCTATTTAGGTTACCTACATCTCATACTTGCTTTAATGTCCTTTTACTTCCGGAATATTCAAGCAAAGAAAAACTTAAAGAGAGATTGTTGAAGGCCATCACATATGCCAAAGGATTTGGCATGCTGTAAAACAAAATCAAATCAATACAAAACAAAACAAATAAACAAAAAAGGAAGGAAGAAAAAAAGAAAAAGTAAAAAAAAAATAAATATAACAAGAGGGATAAATTTTGGTGGTGATAGTATCACAGTACGAAAAGGCTGTAAGATAGTGAACCACAGTAGTCATCCATGTCTGTGCCTCCCTTCTTTATTGGAGACGTGTGGGCTGGAACAGCAGATTTCAGCTACATATATGAACAAATCCTTTATTATTATTATAATTATTTTTTGCGTGAAAGTGTTACATATTCTTTCACTTGTATGTACAGAGAGGTTTTTCTGAATATTTATTTTAAGGGTTAAATCACTTTTGCTTGTGTTTATTACTGCTTGAGGTTGAGCCTTTTTGAGTATTTAAAATATATATACCAACAAAACTACTCTCCCAAGAAAACATTGCCACCATTTGTAGACCATGTAACCTTCAAGTTTGTGCTATCTTTTGTCCCTGTATCTAACTCAAATCAGGAACTGTATTTTTTTTTTTTTTTTTAATGATTTGCTTTTGAAACTTGAAGTCTTGGAAACAGTGTGATGCAAGTACTGCTGTTCTAGCCCCCAAAGAGTTTTCTGTGCAAAATCTTGAGAATCAATAAAGATGGAAGGGAGAACTTGGAATGTTTAAACCGCAACCCTCAGAACTTTACTTTAGTAACAGCACAACAAATTAAAAACAACTCATGCCACAGTATGTCGTCTTCATGTGTCTTGCAATGAACTGTTTCAGTAGCCAATCCTCTTTCTTAGTACATGAAAGGACAGGGATTTTTTTTGTTGTTGTTCTTCTTGTTGTTGTTTTAAGTTTACTGGGGAAAGTGCATTTGGCCAAATGATATGGTAGTTAAGCCTATTGTAACAAACTTAGGAAGTTCATTGTTTATTATAAACAAAAAGCATGTGAAAGTGCACTTAAAATAAACTTTCTATTATTACCTAGATTTTAAATAGACAATCCAAAGTCTCCCCTTCATTTTGCCATCATATTGTTTAATCAGCTCTTTATCAAGGCACATGATCAGTGTTGCAACATAATAGACAGGATGGCTACTGTGCCTTGTGTTTCTTAGTCATACCGTAAGTAGTCCTGGAAATGAATGGAATTATTACTCCTAAGAATTACATTGTATATCCCCAAAGAATAAATTTTGTTTCAAAAAGTGTTAAAGATTACTTTCATGTACTACAGAAAAGTATAAATAGGTTTAAATTTCTGGATACTTAAGGTAGTAGTTTCCCCATTCCTAGTCTTCTGTGTCTGTGATGTTAATTTCTTTTATTGCATTATAAAATAAAAGGATTATGTATTTTTAACTAAGGAGAGACATATTGATAAATCATTTTACTACAGGGCTACAGCTAATGTGCTAGCTTGTGCCTTGACTGTTTTAATTGATTACTGCAGATCATCCTGATAATTTGTTTGAAATTGGCGTGAAAAATGTAGCTTACAAATCATTGGAGGGGAAAAAGGATGTCTTTCAGGATTATTTTAATTTTTAGTAATTGAGACAGAATTGTTATGTACTGCAATGCTAAATAAAACAGTGGCATTTTCTCCATTATTTAATGGAAAAAGAAGACAATGCTTTCCATCTTGTGATAAGGTAACATGGGGTTTTTCTGGGCCAGCCTTCAGAACACTGTTATGGTATATACACTACCTTAATGCAAGGGACCCTCATGTGACTACAGTCATCTTAAAGGGCCTCTCATCCACTGTGCTTCTTAGTATTATGACTATAAAAGGAGAAATTAAATTGCTCTGGGGACATTTTATATAATAAATTCATGAAGAAACTTGTGCTCTTAAGTTCTCAAATTTATTGTCACTGTAGTATTAACTACAAATGGAAAATAATGTATCTTTGTGAAAAGTTTGAAAGTGAATCAAGTATAGGTTATCAGATACAGAAGTCAATCACATCAGTAGATACAACAAAGTGTTGAAAATAAGCCAATCCTTAAATTTGGTTCTTTTTTTTTTTTTTTGAGAGAAAAAAGATCATTGCTCTTGCTTTTTTAGTAATCAGTTAATTCAGGCATGTTATTACTTAGTGTGACTGCCTTTTCACTATTATTTACTAGAATGTCACTCTTACATATTTTGGTTTTCTTTGAATTGGCCCACAATCTCCAGGAAGCCCTAGTGGGCAGGGGATTGAACTATAAACCAGATTGGCATTCTAAATAAAATGTAAGCTTTCTCTTACCTTTTAGTATTATGAAACCTTTCCAACACACACAAAATGAAAACACCCTACAGCCAAACTTTTGGGAGCCTGGCAGCTCTAGCAAATGAGTTGGATGTCCAGACTATACTTTGCTTTCTTGGGCTGTGGTTAATTGTGTAATAAAATATAATTACAATTTCTTTAGCCTTATTTTGGGATATGGTCTCATGTAGGGAGTTAGATAGCAAAAAGAAACTTGAAAATGAGCCTTTGTTGCTATTTCTCCCTTGTGACAGATATCTTATTGAAAAGGACAAATGGTTGTAATTGGACTGAAAAGCCCATTTTTAAGAATGTTCTTAATCCATATAACCACCAGTGATGTCTTCCTAAGGCACTGTGATCTTGATCCATTTAGCTGCTTACCTCAAAAACTTTTTTTTCTGACTTTTCATGAGCCTCTATCTAAGGATTATCTGTTTGCTTCCCAACCTTCCCTGGACCACCAAAGAATCAACAGCTTCCACTACCTGCCTCTCTTGTCTTGCCTTCTTTTACGCATTGTCAGTGTATAAGAAATTGCATTGTTTGGGGAGGAAAGGGTTTACAAGTATAGGGTCTTAGGCCTTTTTTTCCTTTTCCTATTCCAGTCAGTGGATTGGCATTTATAATCATAGCAAGAAGATTTGTGATGCATGTGTGGGCTGTATTTCACTGTAGGAAAATCTGTTTCACTTAAAATTCACTGTTCAAGGGTATCCATATTCTCCTGATTTCCAAAATCAAGAACTCTTCATTTTAAACCTTCATAACACTCTAAACTTGGCTGTTGCTTCTCTTCTATCCTACCTCATCCAGCTCTTGGGTGAACACTACTCTTCTACTTAAAGTTCTTGTCTGCACTTGACCAGTTCTCTCTGGTCAATCTCAGGCACTCCCCTAAAATCATCCCCAATTCCATATCATCTTCTCAGAACTCTGTCTCCAGGGTGTTTTTCTGGTACCTCTTGGCAAGTCTGCCAGCTATTCTTGTTGCTTCCTTAAAAGTACCATATTTACCCTAATCATAGAAACCCCTAATTGGCATAGGTGGTCAACTCTTTTGGGTCTCTTCATCCTTCCTCCTTCATCATACTTCATGTCAGGACCTAAGCCTCTGATTCTGCTTGCTTCCCAGATTATCTCCCTGACTCTAACTGTTCTTCTAATCCCTTTCATTCTGCTGAAACGAAGTTTGGCTAATTTTAATACCCTCTGCCCCCCAACTTTTTCCCCTTTGAATGAATCTCCACTTCTGGCATCCAGTACCCTCCACAGATGTAGCTGCACTACCTTCCCAATTTTGCCTTCTATTACAGGCACCTCCCCATGTATCCCTACCCAGCATTTTCACTTGTCATGCTTAATTATTTTGTATTTCTCAAATATCCTTTAAGACCAGATTTTAAAAACACCTTGCCCATAAAGAGTTCATCGATCCTCTAAAGTGTCTCCAAGCGGTCTACACAACCATGATAGCCCAGCATGGTAGTACAGATTTATTAGCCAAACAATGAGAGGTCTTAGGGAGTCTCTCGGGCTGCTTTTGATAAGATCCTTTCCACATTTTAGCTTTGTTTTTGAGCCTTTTCTCTAGTTTTTTCTTATACTCTTGCCTGGAGTTGAAGTGAATCATGGTGGAAATTTTAAATCTTTTTGCCTACACCTAATGAGTGCGTTAGGATTATTAAAGGCTTGTCTTCGTCTTTCTACCAGATTGTCACTGATAACACAATAATTGAAAAAGAATGCTTAGTGAAGCTCCCTGTTTTTTCACTAAACATGGCCTCTTGTCTTTTTCCTTTCTCCCCAAATAGGTTTTTATTTTGAAATATTTGGAGATTTACTGTTTAAAGACAAGGCTCCTTGGAGTTCCTGGCTGTATCATATCAGCCTGTGGAAAGGAAGATGAGTAAGAGGGGTGAAAAGGACTGGGACCTTGAAAGCAAGGCTTTTGTGTAACTTTCCTCACCCTGCCCTTCTGGTGTACTCCAGCAAACAGGAGCTTCTGCAGCCAACTTCTCTGTGGCCACACTCTTTACTTTCTCTCCCAGGGAAGCTGAGGGCTGGTACCTTACACCATTCTGCTGTTGCCACCGAATTCTGTTCTGTATGAGTCAAATTTAGCAACTAACTTAGGTTCTGAAGGGAACTTCCAGTCCACATCAAATAGATTATATACACGATTTTTCATCTTCACAGACTAGTTCATGGTGACTCAAAAGGTATACACCTTGCCCAAAGTCAGCCAGATGAACAAAGGGCTAAACCTACACCATCTAAAATCTGTCATTTTCCCATTGCCAAAAATCAGCCATCGAATCAAGATTGTTAGGCTCACCTGAACAGAACTTGGAATATTTATCCTATTTGTCTTTTAGTCCCCAGGAAACCATTGAAAATGGGATGGTACGTATCTGGGAAACTACACAGTGGTTGAAGGTGCAGAAGACATGATTCTGCCTTTCATTTCTGGCCCAGCCATTCCCTTGGCTTGAATTATACCCAATTCTACCTTATCACTGTTTTTCAGGATTCAGATTCAGTATAGACAACATCTTGCAAGACATCCTGAGAGACTGAGATGGGTTCTCCCAACATTGGCCAGTTAAACACGAGAAGGAAAAATATTGAGATTGGAAATGTTTGTAAGAAAGTCTTATTTTGCAACAGTTGACCTTCTCATGAGGAGTGCTTTTCCTCATCTTTGTTTAATTAATATGTAATTCACATACCATAAAATTTACCCTTTTTAAAAGTGTAAAAATTGTGGTTAGTATATTCACAGA